CACACACACACACACACACACACACACACACACACACACACACACGTTCCCCATGGGTGCTGGGGATCCGTGCTCAGGTCTTGAGCCTTCCCGACCTCCATGCCTTGGCTTTTTTAGTGTGCCCACACATCTCCTCAAGTGCTCCTGGGCTCCTGGACTTCTTCCTCTGCCGATTTGCAGAGAGCATCACGGGTGGTTTGTAGGAGTTCTTTGCAGAGTGTGCACACTGAGCCTTTTCTGCTCTGTCTCCCTGGCTTCACCCCTGCCTGCCTGCCTTCTCTGTGTTTTCCTCTGCTGAAGAACACTGCTTTGTGCCTGTTTCCACAGTCCTACCCTTCGAGTCTATGTCCGGGGATCTCCCCAGCTTCCCTTGGTTCTCTGTGGGGCTCTAGTGCTGTGTTCTGAGCTGACCTGGCTGATGGGAGGGAGGCAGGACTGAGTTTTCTTTTCTCCCTTAGTCTTCCCTGGCCAGGGGCCCCGACCTCCTCTCTTGCCTGCGGTTCACCTACCCAGCTCCAGAATCTCCACGGATCTTCCTTCAGAGGTTCCGCTCCAGTTCCCTTCTGTGTGTGTCCTCATCACATGTTTAGTGTGTGGGCTCTGTGGTGTGTCTTAACATCTGCTGTGGCGGGTCCTTCCTTTAAAAAGTCAAAGCAGGGCCTAGAGAGACAGCTTCATTGGTAACGTGCTTGCACAGTCCGATTCTCAGAATTCACATAAAAAAAAAAAAAAAGCTAGAGTGTTTTTGCAGACTGCTAGTGCTGCATCCCTGGAGCTCACTGGCCAGCCTGGGCTAATCAGGTCTCACTGAGAGGCTCTGCCTCCAAGAACAAAGTGGATAGACCCCAAGGGACGACACTAAGGGTAGCCTCTGGCCTCCACCTTCACGCACACAGTACACATGTAAAGCGTGTCCTGATGGAAGGAAGGTATAGCACTAGCCAGGACCTGAAAACTTCTGCCACTAACTTGTTACCTAACCAGCTCCTATGGACCTTTAGGTCTGGCCTGGAGCTGCCTGGGCTCTTCCCTGGGGCAGTGCTGCAGTGCCCTGCAGGAGTGGCACAGGCCGTTTGTGGCATTGACCATGCTTCTTCCTGGCTGTCTGGCCAGTACTGGTCAGCAGCTCCTTCAAGGGCAGAAACGTGGTCTGCCTTAAGTAATATCCACATAGCACCCAGCCACAGCTAAGGGCAGCATCTACTGAGTGTTTAGACACCATGATAAGCACTTCCAGAGTACTCCGTTCACCCTCCATAGGAAACCTCCCAGACAGGGTATTGATTACCACCATTCAGAAAACTGGGCCACAGAAAGGTTGCACAACTTGCTTAATACCACACAGACAGAAGACAAACTTTCATCGGAATCCAAATAATTATTGAAGCACTTGAGAGTTCATGTTCCCTTGTGTCCACTGTCCACCTCTCCACACACACCAGGTGAGTATGTGGTGAGTGAGTGAATGGATGGATGAATAGATGAATGAATGAATGAATGAATGAATGAATGAATGAATGAATGAATGGGAAATTAGGAAAGTGGGCAGATAATTCAAATAGCCTAAACCACACTTGGCTGTAGCTCTTTTTCCCAAGCAATTATGCTCCTAATACCAGCTCTCTTTTTTTTCTGCAAGATACTAGTTTTCATAAATTATGGAAAATTCTTTGGCTATTGCTTGTTATGTTATGGCCTGGGGTGGAGCACAGGGGTGATGGAAGACTTTTTAAATTCTTTCCCATCAGCTTAGAGAATTCTCTAGGCCATGACTGTGTGCAGAATCTATAATTAATTATTATTCACACTTAATACAGTTAGATACTGTGAACACACACTTTCCATTAATTTATGTGCCTGGCTCCTCATCATTTTCCCACAGGTATAGTCACTGATTTCTCAAGTTATTAAAAATTAAAATGTATATTAGGGCGCGTGAGGAGCTTGGTGTCCTTGTACCTATTTTTAGTCTAAAGTCACAAACGGAGAGGGGAACTCAACCGCTTTTGGGGGTCAGTCCTGGCTGAGGGCGAGAACATTCATTCTCACTCACCCACTCTTCACTGTTAATTAGGGACAGTTGATCCACGATGGTCCAGTGAGTGCTACAAGCCTTGGGAACATGGAGAAGACAGGTCTCAGTCACTGGGGGACATCCTCACTCTTCCTGCGGAAGGCAGGTAGGTGTGGTCAGGAAGGCTCAGGATGAAGGAAGCCCCAGCTGGCCTGGAGTGGGTGGCGGGAGCAGGGGAACATAGAATTGACCCTTGAGGAAAGATAAGAGGTCAGAGAAGAAGAGATTAGCAGGAGAAGGGAGGGATAGGCATTCCAGCTTGTAGGGTTAGCAGGTACAAGTCACAGGAGGCAGGAGAGGTCTTGGCAGGTTCTAGAAGGCCAGAAACCTCCCTGGAGAACCAACAAGCAGTGTCAGGGGTGTGACCATGGGAGATGGGTGGGGACAGAGGTCACTGAAAGAGCCAGTCCAGTGCAACAGCATGCTGATGCAGTCCCAGCCACTGGGACGACAGCCAGGCTGCCTGTACTTAGAAGCTTGAAGACGGCCTTAGCAACAGTGAGCTCAAGAAAACAAGCAAAACCACAAAAGGAGCAGTGGAGAAACGAGAGAGCAGTACTTTCCAGAAGCCTCCACACAAGAATCTGAACTGTGGTTATCGCAGAAACTTAAAACCTGTGAGACCAGCCCACCTACTTTCCATTTGAGAGTGAGGAGAAACTAAGGTTCATTTTCCAAAACTCAAAACCAAGAGCTTCCAAACAAATAGATCCATGCCTGTCCAGGCGTCTGAAGAAGTCAGCTCTCTCTGTTTCCCAGGAGCCTTTGCATTCCAGTTCTGGGGCACAGTTCTCACAGGGACCTTCAAGGAGGTGGCACTGAGGATAGGAACCCAGCACGCCCCTGTACACACACACACACACACACACACACACACACACACACACACACACACACACACACACACACTCACCAGGACACCCGGAAGCTTTACCCCCTCAGATCAGAGACTCACTGTGGCCCCACTGGTGACGAGACAACCAGAGCCTCCGCTGATTTACATATTCTGCATAACTTTGCATAAAGCATTGACAAGTCCCAGAGCCTGTACAAGAAAACTAATTAGAGGAATGTGCCTTGTCCTAGGAGGGGAGGGGACGTGTTTGCATTCTGAGCTGCTCCCCTCAGTACAGCTGTGGGGCTGACCCAGCATTATGAGGCTGGCTTGCAGTCTGACTGGATCCTGTTTGGTTTTTGAGACAGGGTCTCTTGTAGCCCCGGTTGGCCTTGGACTGGCTATATAACCAAGGATAACCTCTGACCTCTACCATCCAAGTGCCGGGATGACAGGTGTGTACCACCAGCCAGGTTTCTGTGGTGCTGGGTGGGGATCAAACCCTGAGCCTCACACATGCTAAACGCTCCACAAACTGAGCTATATCCCCATCCCCGGGATGGAGTTTCATCCAAGTCTGCTGCTGGCTATCTGTATAACGTGGGGCCAAGAACCTTGCCTTCCGATCCTCACCAACAAGGACAATTATGGAATGATTGACAGCTCCTCAGTGGTGCAAGCACAGGGGAGACTGAGATGGAGTGGGTTACAAATTCAAACAACCTGGCAGCGTAGTAAGACCCTCTCCCAGAGGATAAGCCAAGACATGTGGGTCTGTCTGTCCAACTGCTTGGCACAATGACCAACGCACAACCAGGACTCATTCAATATTTAGGCATTGAGTGGGTCTGATCCATGGACAGCAAAATTTTCCACCTGATTTTCATTTACATTCTATTTATTTGTTCTGCATATGTGTACAAGTGTGGATGTGGGCACGGGTGCTCACGTGCCATAGTGAGTTATGTAGAGGTCAGAGGACAAGTTTCAGGGATTGGTCCCCTCCCCTCCCACCACGTGGGTCAAGAGAATCAATCGTATTGACCCTGACAGCGAACACCAGTACCCCCCTGAGTCACCTCACCAGCTGCCTGGTATTAATCCAGAGATGTCTCACTCCTCATCTGATTCTCGGGGGATGTTTACCTTCCATAAGAAATGGACCCCATCCCGATGTCACGAGGGAAGCCCTGGACCCCAAAAGATCATCTTCCACTGAGGAGCTCAGGAGCCAGAATTTACACACAAACTGAAGACAGAGCCCAAAGAGAAACTGAGGCAGACCAGAGGCAGGAAGGACCCTGTAGAGCTGGGATGGGGGATTTCCCTATTTCCTTCTAGACTTTTCCTCAACTGCCTCCCCACACCCCTTTGGACTCCACCTTGTGACATTCCTCTGGTTCTGTTGCTACTCTGCACCAGGCCTGCATGGAGGAAGGGGCCTGAGGTTCTGAAGATCGATGCTGCTCCAATACTCGCCCCCTGCGGCAAGCTCCCGACATCTCTTCCACAGTAATAATTAGCGACAGAAATATCTGACCTACTTAAGACTCCACAAATACACACATTTGGTGGCTTCCACATCAACTTGGGGGCTGCCAGAGGAGGCTGGCTGAGAACAGTTTTGTGTTATTTTGTTTTGTTTTTTAACTGCCTATTCCTGCCCATCATTGCTCCTGCTTACCCCCCCCACCCCCCCACCCCCCGCCCCTCACCTGCCTCCTCCCTGAGGAAGTACCTTTCGGCACTAGAGTTGGTGGTTATTTTTACATCCAGTTCCATGAGCAGAGGGGTCTGGGTGTCTGGCTTTAGAAGGATGGGTTCTGCAGAGATCTTTGTAAATTTCTAAAGCAGTTTAGGAACGCAGCTTTGAAAACATCCAATGGAAAAGGATAGATAGCCCATGAAATGCCCAGTTGTGTCATGTGAGATCTGCCCTTTCTTGTCGTTGTAACATGGTCCCAGGTATTCCAGGCTGACCTCAAACTCACTATGTAATCAAGGATGACCTTGAACTCTGATCTCCTGCCACCCCAGGGCTGGGATTACAGGCAAGTGTGCCATCACGCAGGTTTTATGCCTCACTGGGGACCAAACCCACGATTTTATGCATGCTAGGCAAGCACTCCACCAACTAAGATGCATCCACAGCCCTGCCCTTGCATCCCTAAGTCTGTCCTCCCAAAGTCAGGTCTGAGTTTTCCACAGATCACCCACGTGCATCACCCGCCACCAGAAGTACACTGAGGCTTAGTGACAAGGAGTAAATTGTGTGCCTACTGCTGAGTGATGAAGTCACCCTACACAACCTGTCCCTCACAAAGGACTGTCAGGAAGGCCATCAGGCCTTAAAGAAGTGGGGTTTGTGGGAAAAGCAGCCAATGTGTGGATAGATGAACATGGTGGGAGAAAGGGGGACTTCCATCCAGCTGGGGGGACGTCATAGAAGGTTCACAGAAGCTGTGCCCCTGAGCCCTGCATCACCAGTCTCTCCCGAGGAAGGAAAAGCCACTGTCACCCCAGGAGCAGCTGCAGCAAAGGCATGGAAGTCAGAGGCAGTTACTTAGGAAGCTACGTAAAGTTCAAGGGCAGAGCGGCAACTCGGGATGAAGGTGAGGGCATGTGATGGGGAGGGCACGTGAGGGCAGAGGGGAGTCAGCACATTGCTTCAGGAAGGGAGCCACAGGATTTGATCTGGACTTTACTGGTTCCTTTTACAAAGTCCATCTGGAAGAGAGAAGGTGGGAAGACACTCCCACCGGTGGTCTGTGCCCCACCAGGGCCTTTGCCAACCAGAACATCCAGGCTATTGTCCATCTGTCCAAAGCTTTGCAAAGCCACAGCCCACTGTTCTCAGAACCCTGAGTGGCTGACCATGGAAGAATCGCAGCACAGATGTTAGTGTGGACCACTCCGTAAGCAGTGAGCTTCAACTAGGATCCGTAGACATTCACGCAGCCTCCAGCCTCAGGGCTGGAGCAGTAAGTAGCAATCAGCCCTGGGTAGATTCATGATAGGCCTTGGTCAAAGATAAGCCAGGGAGACAAGGCTTCGATGCCGTGTGAGTGCGGCAATGGTACCATAACCTAGGAAGGGGGACCGCCTGGGAGAAGTGAGCAAAGACCCCAAAGCTGCCCACCTCAGGCCCTCGGAGACATCTTCTGCAGAGCACAGGAGGCAGGGGGCCACCAGAAAGTGACAGGTTAGGTCTAGAAGCCAGGGGTGTGGTGGGGGAGGAGGGTGGAGAGTGGTATCTGTGGGGTCAGCCTAGATGTTTCCTGGCCCGTGATTTTAATGTCACATCCAGGCTGAGAGCTGCCCTGTGTTCGTTACTTTGCTCGTCTCTGTGACCAAATACTGACAGAAACTAATTAGGGGAAGCATTGCTCATCTAGGCCCATGGATTCAGGGGTTCAGTACCTCACAGCAGGGAAGGTGTAGTAGAACAGGGCAACCCACATCATGGCTGCCAGGAAGCAGGAAATGTGGGAAATGCTGGAAGGGACCAGACGAGAGACAGTCCCAAGGATACCACCTGTGGTGACGGCCTCCTAAGGTCTCATCTTTTCACCCCTCCCCAGTAATCCATCCTATAATGAAATCACAGGTGGGTTGACCCACTGATCTAATCCGAGTCTCCATGGTCTAATCATCTCTGGAAATGCCTGAGATAGCCCAGCATGGCATTTCATTGTGTATTCTGGGCATCTCTTAACTAATAAAGGTGGTACTCAAGATTAGCCAGCACACCCTGTTAATTGGGGCTTGAGGCTCTGCCAGGTGGGCTGGCATTATGGAAAAGGAGCCTTTCCCTAGCTTTGAGAGAAGGCTTGGTAGTGCCAACGTTTCTCCCCCCCACCCCCAGGAGGCTGTCCCCATTGGGCCTGGCAAGACCATCCAGATGGCAGCATCCTCATCTGTTGCCACACACACAGGACCTTAGTCACCATCTCCACCAGCCCATGGAGCCCCCTCTATGTTCTTGGTGTCGCTTAATCCTTTAAGTGTCCCCTCCCCGGTATACAAGCTTCTCCGGTCTGAAGGGTTTCCTGGAGAAGGAAACCCATTTTCTCTGCCCCCTCCCACTCACCTGTCCCATCTCCATGTTCTCAGAGCATTCATCTACACCAGAGGCCAGGGAGGTTCCAGACACCCAGATGAGCACAGTCAGGGCTCTGCTACCAGGAGCTCACTGGGCAGCAGGCAGTGCAGCAGAGACCCAGTGGTAGGTAAGAGGAGCGAATGGGTGTGTGGGCGTAGGCGTATGGACCTTGTTCCGTGCCCAGTGAACACCCGTGGCATTTGACGAAGCCCCCATGTGGCCTGTCCCAGGACTGTCCAGGTTTAGGGTATGCTACAACTTTCCAAGAGCGCGGACTGAGAGCAAGTAGAATCTATTCTGTCGCAGACTAGTGCCACCTGGAACATCACCACAAGGTGTCAGCAGAGGTTCAGTGGCGTCCCCTAGGCAGCTCTACCTCCACCAGCGTTCTGGAGAGACCTGGGTGTCCACAGCCACAACCCAGCCAATCTCTGCACGGGGCCCTGAGCAGCTAGGTCATCACCCCAGCAAGGGAGGGGCTGGGAGTTAGGTGTCAGAAGTGCAGACATGTGCAGCCTGGGACTACAGCTGAGTTGGTAGAATGCTGGCCTCGCATGCGTGAGGCCCTGGGTCTCATCCCCAGAACCGTATAAGCCAAGTGTGGTAGTGCATACCTTAATTCCAGCACGCAGGAGGTGAAAGCAGGAGAATCAGAAGTGCATGGTCATCTTTGACTACATAGCAAGCTTGAGGCCAGCTTAGGCTATATGAAGCATGATTCAAAAACAAGTGTACATATATGCACATGTGTGTGGACATGTATGTGTTAGTATGCTTGCACATGAGTATATGTATATACTCTGTGTGTGTGTACATGTGCATGTGGGGGTCATAGGTGTTTGTATATGTACATTGTTTAGGTGCACTTCATGCATGTCTATAAGTGTGTGCGCACAAGTATGTTATACATGTGAGTGTTTGTGTATGCCCATGCATTCAGGTGGGTGTTTACAGGTGTATGTAACACATGGATGTGTATATAGCTATGTGTGTACACTGATCTCTCTGCCCTCTTGGATATTTGTCTCAGGAGCTGTCACTCAAAAGTGGGTAGGATATGGTCTAGCAGCTGCTCACTCTGCCCCTGCCCTGCTCATAAGACCTTGATCTTGAGCACCGAGTCCCACTGTGCCCTCAGCCACACACAAGGACATGTGTAGAGGCCCACAAAGGTTTCCTAGTGAGATCTGAGCTTGCTTTACCCAGCAGAGCTGCAGTAGAGGACTGCTTGACCACGTGCATGGTTACCAGGTGATTGGAAAGGGTCTGCACTTGGCTGTGCTGGGGGAAGGTCTTTTGCTCAACCCCTTGGCATTCCTATACATAGCCCTTTAGGAGAGACAGGAGGGGCTGGTGGATAAAAATCCAGGCCCTCCCGAGGCTATCCTGTGTTTCTATCGGTTTCTCTCCCCTCTGTCTTTCTAACTAAATCTCTTGTCCCTCTCTCCTCAAGAGCACCCTGGGATAAAATGTGGGAGCCAGTCTCCCACCTGGTTCTCCCACAGACATGTGCAGAGGAGAAGCCTTGTGCACAGAGGGCTGGGTTCGCTGCCTATTCTGTGCAGCAGTCGGGGACTGTCCAGGCCTTCTGGTGACCTTTGAGAAGGAACAGGAGGAAGATGAAGGCTGGAGGCAGGTGGAGACAGAAGCGTGACGTGGGCCATCCTTCGAGGATTGTACTGTGACTGTCGAGTCAAAGCAAGGAGTGGAGGAATGGAGGTGGAGGGCTGGAGGACTCGTCAGAGAGCCACCAAGCTGCCCCTCCGAGTCCTACTCAACCTCCTGCGCCCACTTCAGCCTTACCTCTGAATACTTCCCTCCCCACGGAACCCACTGCCTCATAGTCCCTCAAGGCTGATGTTCCCACAGCCTGTCCATCGGGCTCTCTGGGGGCAGGGGCCTTCCACAACCCCTTCTCCCAGGTTCTCGCTAATCCAAGTCTCTTGGATAGTTTAGAGAGGGGACTGGCCAGAATGATATGATGGTAGTGTTAACTGTCAACCTGGGCAATCTGAATCGCCTGGGAAAGGGCTTCTGTGCATGCTACCGAGGAGGGAAGACCCACCTACCCTTGGTCGCACCATTCCCCGGCTGGGATCGTGGACTGTGTATGTGCGGAGCTGAGCAGGATGTATGGCTCTCTGCTCCTGAGTATGGATGGGATGTGGCCAGCCACTTCAAGCCCCCGCTGCCTTGACCTCCCCGGGCATGATGGACTCTACCCTCGAGCTGTGAGCCAGAGTCAGCCCTTCCTCCTTGAAGTTGCTTTGTCGGAGTGTTTCATCACAACCACAGGAAATGAAACCAGCCTAACTGGCTTTTCCGAACCTTCCTGCTGGGATGGGAGGAGAAAGGGACACCGAGTTTGTGGCCACCGCCCGCCATGCCTTCAGCTGTGGGGGTCCAAACTTAGCATCTTCAGAAGACAGGCCATGTTGCTGAGTGATCTTAAGGAAGGGAGTGTC